AAGTGTCATATATATACCCCCACATTAGGGTTTACGGCCGTAAACACCTTTGTTTGGACATAAACTCCAAACTCTTGGAGTTTTGTAATAATATTTTTGCACAATAAACCCTAGGGCATCCTCTCTCCTGATATCTCCCGAAGTACTAACTTTTAAATACTAAAACTTAATCCAAAAAGTTTGAAAGTTAGCAGAAACTGTTTTGAATTCTATAGCATTGAATGATTGTACAGAATAGAAATTTTGGGTTGTCACATCACGACATGGGAGGAGGCTCTCACGATGTGAGGTCAGCTATTGTGACTTTTCATGTCTAAGTTGACTGAGTTGACTTGGGAAGAGTTGGAATCGGACCGAGTGAGATCTCATGACATGAACAAGGACTAGTCACGGTGTGAGGCTGGATAAGTCGACATTGGGCTGTTGACTTTGACTTTAATCCTTGACTGTTGGTCAAAAATCTATTTTTTGAAGGTATACTTTGGGTTTACCTTTTATGGATTGATAGCAGGTGTTAAACACCCATCTTTTGGCAGGAGAGTAGTTAAATGTGGTCGGAACGATTTTGATCTGAGTGTTAGTCAGATTCGTGATTCGGGTAAGTCTCCTCACTATACCCATGGGTTGAAGGCACCAATGTTTGCCCATTAACTTATGTTATATAGGAAGACTAGGGGTGGCCCTTGGCATTTGTATGAAAGACCCGGAGGTGGCTCCCGACACATTGTATCCAAGACTACGGATCGGACCCTGACAATTATATGTAGTATGCTAGTTGTCTTTGTGTACTTGCATGGAAGACCAGGAGGTGGCTCTTTGCACATGTCTGTAAGATCTAGGGTTTTGGCCCCCGACCTGACAAGGAAAGACCATGATACAGTTTGTAGCATAATGGCAAGATTATGGTTGGCACATAACAATCCCTATTGTATGTATTGTATGTGGTATCGTGGGGAATTCATTAAGCTTTATGCTTACGACTTCATATTTATGGTTTCAGGTACTTCCGGTTTGAAAGAAAAGGGCCCGACGTGACTGCACAGCATCCCCCAAAGTTTTTTGCATTGGAAAATTATGATCTGTACTCTGATGTTTAAATAGTATACTCACTTTAATTAGTTTTGGAACAACTCTTTTGTATGGTTTATTGCTTTAAAAATGAAAACTTTATTATGAATTTTTTGGACGTTACAGAGGGGGTTATGAAGATTTTGGATGAGCGTTTGGGCAAGTTCGCACTGAGATTATGGCTCTTGTGGAAGCTCTCACTATTTCCTTTCACGACTTCCGTGCTTGTGGAGTTCCTAAGTTCTCTGGGGAGAAGGACCCCATTAGTAGTAGGAGGTGGTTATTAGATATGGTGACGCTTTTCCGACGATCTTTTGCCTCGAAGGGTTAGACTCAGCAGAAGCCGCATTCGACTTTGTTTTCTCTTCTTTCTTTCCTTGCCACCATTCGGGATACCGAATTAGCTTGAAGCATTCTTCTTTCTTATGTCCATTTCTTCCACATAAACACAGTGATCATTCTCTTTGATTTCTTTAATGCTTCTTGGGAAGTTCCTTTGCTTTGAAGAATTAAAGTTTTCGTCCCTTTTCCGGATGGCCTTGAATGCAACTGATTCGGGTGGTGTACTTTTGTCTATTGAAATTTCTCTCTGTCTTTCATCTTCAGCGACGAGGTGGTAGGCGGTTCTCAATGAAGGAGTAGGTTTGGTTGCTAAGATCTGGGTTTTTATAACAGTGAAATTTGGATCCAAACCCATGAGAAACTGGTAGAGGCGTTCATTTTCTTGATATTCTTGCATCATCTTCCCAATATCACATGAACACTTGTTTCAAGGACAGTGAGTAAGTGGCTGGATTGATAAGGTTTCGTCCCATAACGATCTCAAATTAGTGTAATACGTTGAAGCTGAAGTGCCATCTTGTCTGGTGGTTGTAAATTTTTGTTTTAATTCGTAATCACTAGGGGTGCTTTCTTTGCCAAATCTCTCAAGGAGGTTCTGCCATATTTCTGATGTTGTGTTTGCATACCTAACACTCTCACATATGTTCTTCTCCATTACAGCAGTAAGCCATCCCTTGATCATTGTGTCACACCCCATCCACATCATATAGTCGTCGACCCCCTTCTCCGGTTTCACGATCGTGCTATCAACGAACTCAAATTTATTTTTGGCAAAAAGGAAATTATCCATCTCCTGCGACTAGTTAGCATAGTTATTGTCCGTGAGTACTTCATTAATGTGTAATTGTTTAAGAAAATAAGATGGATGAATGTAGTACGGGGAATTGTGATTGATAGTGGTGGAGCTTTTTCCCGTTTTTCCTGTGTCTGATCTGTCATCTTCATAGATCTGTGTTAGGGTTCTTCAACCTGCTCTAATACCATCTAAAGAACCGATGGCATGAAAAGAATAATTTTATACCATCTAAAGAACCGTAGCCAATATAGGGCAAGAGTGGACCTTGGCCCACCCATACAAAATTAAGGTTACATATATATAGTATTTACAATATATATTTTGTTAAATAAAAGGAATTAGGGTTGTGATATGACTTATTCCATTCAAAACTTGAAATTAGTAGAAGAGAATATATCGTTGTCTATTCGATTGGACTCCAATTTGGATTATTTTAACGATGTAAGACAACATCGTGTGCAATTTAAAATAAACAATTTAGTTGAGAATGCATATATAGTTACATTTTATTATCGTTTGAAGAATTTTGCTACTCGTTCGTATTTTGTATATTATTTGCCCTACCCTAAAACAAAATTCTGGCTACGCCACTGTGAACATGTGGTTCGGAAGACACTAACTCCCCTTTAACTTGTGAACTGACTTCAAAATTGGTATGCTCCCCCTCAATTTGAGCTTATCTCTAAAAAATTACACCCCTCCCCTTAAGAATATACCCACTTGCTTCTAAAAGAATATCAAAAGTAATTTGTGACTCTTCCGTATGCTTTGTGGATTCATCAACATTGTTTTCCAGAGATGGCTTTGAAGTTATGGCTGTTACAAGTTTACTAAAGATATGTTTGAAATGTACGAATGTTAGATTCCAGACTTCATATCCCGCCAATCATCACCAATACTGGAATAAACTTTACTGCTCGGGAATGTTGCATTAGAGTTAGTAGTCATTTTGCAGATATTAAAAAATAGTTATTGTTATTAAAATATACGTTTGTATTGATTAGTTTACCCAATTTTTCCGATTCTTTTTACCATATACATTTATATTGTTTAGTTAATTTAAAGCGTGTTTAATACGAGCTTCCAGCGTTTGACAAAACGTTCAGTTTTAAACAAAAAATTTGTTTGGTACTCCCAGCTTTTAGCGTTTAGTTTAAACAAAACTTTTCAAGTCTAAAAACTACCTCATGTAACGTTAACAAAACGTTTAAAGTCTAAAAGCTACCTCATGTAGCGTTAACAAAAAGTTTCAAGTCTAAAAGCTACCTCATGTAGCATTAACAAAACGTTTCAAGTCTAAAAACTACCTCATGTAGCGTTTAACAAAACGTTACCAGCTATCCACTACTAGTTAGTTTTCCGAAAAACTTTATTAGTTTTTCCAATTTTTTTACCATATATATTTATATTGTTTAGTTTACTTAACGCGTGTTTGACGCAGAATGTTTGAAAGCTTCTAGCTTTAATGTTTGACAAAATGCTCAGTTTTAAACAAAAGATGTGTTTGGTAATACAAGATTTTAAAAGCTACCACGCAACAAAACACTATCGGTTAGTTTGCTCTATAACTCTTTTAGGAGTCGTTTGGTTTGCTGGAATCTGTTGGAATCGGAAGGAATTAGAATTTAATTCCATCATTTTCCTATGTTTGGTTCAAGTTTTGAGAAGGAATTGGATTCCTAAATGTATCCAATTTTCCTTCCATTGAGGGAAAATAAATTACATCTAAAAGATGAAGAAATTCAAATTCCTTCAAGTTGGAGTGTTGAATATTACCATATTACGTTTTTCATTTTTAACATTAAATATGAAAAACCTCTGTCACTACTCGCGACCACCTCCACCGCAATCTTTGCCACCACTACCCACCACCTCTACTATAACCCACCACCACCACCTCCGCTACCCACCCACCACCACCACCACCACCAATAACCATCATCACTAATGTCGTCGCCACTGTTACCACCTTCGCCACCACTGCTTCTGTTACCACCATCACCATCGTTGACACCACTACTACCACCACGGTCACCACCACCACCACTACCTATAACCTCCATTACTACCTACACCACAACCCTACCACTACCGTAGTTACTATTAACTCTATTATCACCACCATCACCTCTATTGCCATCACCAACACCACCGTCACCGCCACCTACACCCACCACCACCACTACCACCGCCACTAACACCCACCGCCACAACCACCACTCTATTTACCATTAACACTAGTAATGTAACTACTACCACCACCTCTACCTTCGTCACCACCACCCACTACTGCCATCACAACCACCATCGCTTTTGCCACCATTGTCACTGCCACCACCACCATTTACTATTTTTTATAATTTATATAATATATTTTTACATATAATTATAAAAAAGTAAAAGTTAGCAAAAACCAAGAATAGTAGTTCTGTCATTTTACACTATTCTAATTCCATTTTCCGCCAACCAAAAAGATATATAATTGAATTCAAATTCCATTTACTGCTAACCAAACAGAATATTGAAATAGATTCAAATTCAAGACAGATTCCAATTCCTCAATAAATTTCAATTCCTTAAAAAAAAACATTCTATGAACCAAACTCCGCTTTAGTTTTTTCAATTTCTTTTTACCTGTTTTTATAGAAATTAACCTTTTAAAATGTTTGTTATATATTTTTGAGTTGTGTATCTCGTTTTTGTCTCATGCCGAGTTAAACAGGGCAACAGGCTCCATAAAACCCACAAAATTTCTTCATCGATTGCCTCTGTTCTTGCCTTCTTCCTGCACTCGATGGAGTTGAGTGTGCCCCACACTTGTTTTGTAAACCGCAATCCATCATCTTCCTCTTCTCCGCTCCTCAAATCTAGGTTACTTCTTGCCCCCACATCTAACCAAATCAAGAATCCACTCATTTCCATCACTCAACGAAATAGGTTCAACTCAATGGAGTCGCAGAGAGCAACAATATGCAGCGCCTCTTCTCTCGTCAAGGACCATGGCTCTGCGACAACCACTGATTCTCCTGTGGATACTGGTAACCCTAATTTCCGGTCGTTTATGTCATATTGATGGTTTAATCAATCGCATTCGTAGTTATTTCTATGATTTTGTTTTTGCATGTTCAATTAAAGATCGAATTGGGTCGGTAAAAAGGGTTACGAATGAAACGAATGTGGCGGTGAAATTAAACTTGGATGGTGTTGGTTCACCTGATAGCAGCACTGGAATTCCCTTTCTTGATCACATGTTAGATGTCAGTATATTTAATCTTTACGAACTTTTGAGCTTTTAGATTCTGTTTGTTTATGTTACTCTCCAAAACTTCTCCTCATTTTCACTTTTCAATTCAAGTTGACCTAAACTTCCACTTGATGAGTTGAATATTGTTTTCAATGTAGTTCTGAAACTTGTAGAAATTATAGAAATATGAGAGTTTCACTTATACGATGAGCTTTATTTCATTGTTAGCAAAATCCATTCCAGCTTTATCATTAAACATTCAAAGTGGTATTAGGATGAGTTTTTCTTAATGGAAAGTAACATAACATAATAACTTTTATGATTACTATGTATTTGATCTATTCATTTCATGCTCATTATTTGTGATCTTTCATATCAGCAACTTGCTTCCCATGGATTATTTGATGTGCATGTGAAAGCTGTTGGTGATACTCACATTGATGATCATCATACTAATGAAGATGTTGCCCTTGCCATTGGAACGGTGATCTTACAATGATATATGCTTTTATCTTTTATTATTATATTAAATGCAAGAAACAAATAAATGAAAGTATGTTGTTGTTTCTTGCATTTAGCCCTTTAATATTTACAAATGTTGACATTATATTTTCTTTGCTTTTCAACAGGCTTTGCTTAATGCACTTGGTGATAGGAAAGGAATTAACAGATTTGGTGACTTCACAGCTCCACTTGATGAGGCACTTGTACATGTTTCTCTGGTAAATAATAAATAGAGTAAATTACACGAATGGTCCACATGGTTTAGGGTAATTTGCATGTTTGGTCCCTAACTTATTTTTTTAACTCGGAAGGTCCCTATTGTTTGTTTTTGTTACATGCTTGGTCCCTGTCTTACCTAAAAAGACTATTTTGCCCCTGATTTTCTAATTTATTTAAATAAACACACTCTCAACCCTACTCTCCTCTCCTTACCCTACCTATCCCATCATTTTTCCATATTCAAATAATAGTCTTTTTAGGTAAGACAGGGACCAAGTGCGTAACAAAAACAAATAGAAGGGACCAAATGCGTAACAAAAACAAACAGTAGGGACCTTCCGAGTTAAAAAAGTAAATTAGGGACCAGACGTGCAAATTACCACAAACCATAGGGACCATTCGTGTAATTTACCTAATAAATATCATTTGCATCAATATCATCACAATAATAATAATTAATAAACAATAACATAACTATAATTGTATCAGTGTAAGACACTATTTCTTTTTCTTTTTCTCATTAAGTGCCTTATAAATAAATGATGTCTGAAGAAAATCACAGACATAGAAGGAAAAAACAAACGAGGGCAAATTTGTAAATAGTTGGGAAAGCCTCTTTTCCATGACTTTCTCTATTAAATTGTTTTTATATGTATTGTTTGGATTTTGGAAACAGTGTTTATAGTAATAATATTTGTAGGATTTATCTGGAAGACCACATTTAAGTTATGACTTACAGATTCCTACTGAGAGAGTTGGAACATATGACACACAGGTACTCATTTATCTTCAATACTCTACATTATATTTATTTTTATTTTTATTTTTATTTTTATTTGTTTGTAATCATATCACTATATTCTATCAATGTAATGACAATTATGTTAACCACAGCTTGTGGAGCATTTTTTCCAGTCTTTGGTCAATACATCTGGAATGACACTTCACATCCGCCAGGTAATCTCAGTAAATTTAAATATCATATTATACTATTATACGATTATGTTTGTAGATAAAATATAAATTGCTTATTTCTTGTATTTAAACCTTTTCTTTTTAACATATGAAGCTTGCTGGAAAAAATTCTCACCATATCATTGAGGCAACATTCAAAGCATTTGCAAGGGCTCTTAGACAAGCAACCGAATACGACCCAAGACGCCGTGGGACTGTGCCCAGGTTTTTTAAATTCACTACCATTTATAAAATTTGAAAAAGGAAGAATTTTTAAAGTACAATTTGCTTAATAAGAAAAACATTGAAAATACTTATGCAGCTCAAAAGGGGTGTTGTCTCGTTCCTGAAGAGCTTTGAAAGGAAACAGTAACACACAATTGTGGATGTTATGCTATTATATCAATCAGGTAATGGAAATAGAGTACTTTGTTATTGCGACTGATTAATCAGAATAAAGAAATTTCAGTTATGTAAGTTTTGTATTCTGTGTGTTATGTAGATAGATGAAGGTATCAATGTTGGAGGCAACAGGGAGGTATAATTTAGAAGAGAGACTCAAAGATCTTGTATTCTGCATGAGTTTTGAGTTTATGGACTCGTATTTCTTCCATGAAATTTCCAATAATTCTCATTTCGTATGGGACTTTCATTTTGCAATGTTTTGCGACTAAAGAGTTATTTGGAACTTGAGTGCCTTTGCAAAACAATGATGACAACGTTATCTCTCACAACCACACCCTTCTTTACCAAACCTAACAGCATACATATCATCTTATTGCCTAATAGAAGCTATCTAGGATTAATCTCATAAATGGGTAATCAACCATTTGTTACGAAAAGCGATTGTCCTGAAGATGTCTTAAAGCTGATAACAAACTATTATTTTTTAAATACCGATAAATTAAATTGTTTTGTAAACTCAGAGTTCTAGTTACTTGACTTTGCATAACATTTTTTCAACAAAGGTGCATAGAAGCCGGAGAAGAGGTGAGTAAACAAATAAGATGAAGTCACTAAAGCTCTTGTTTGACATGAACACATGATTCTCTTAAACAGATATACATATATAATAATTATTTTTATAATATTATAATAGTATAGGATGAATTTTAAACTTGTAAAATTCTAGGGTTTGGAATTTAATTATTTGAAAATTAAACTTTTAATTCAAAATTTTAAATCCCAAAACTTGAGAGCAAGTTTTGAAACATTTCAAAACTATCTAGATCAAAATTCAAATAAATAATTAAACAATTAGTTTTTGGTGATTATCTAATTTTGATCTAGTTCAATTTCATACAAGATAATTGACCAAACAATTCAAATAATTAGCATTTATCATATAAGGAAATAATTATTCAATTAATTTGACATTATCTTTTATTTTGGTAAGAATGATCATACAATATCAATAAAATTCGTATTTTATCAATCAAAAACGATTTGGTAATTATCCCACAACAAAATAGGTATAAAATCCCGAAATTCCTTCTGTCTGACTATCCGACTCGTTGAGTTCATCCAACTCGACAAGTCCTCTTTGGGACCCGGCGAGTCTGTCAGACAGAAAGCCAAAAAAAATCGAATTCAAGCAATGAACATTCATACAATGCATCAAATACAATAGAAACCAAGCAAATCTTTGATACCATTGATGAGTTTAGAGCAAAAGGACAATCTTATGTTTTCATGCAAAACCCTAAAGCTTGGATCTAGGTTTCTTTATAGAACATGTAATTCATCCCAGACTTGAATACCCTAATCTAGCATACATTGAAATCGAAATCTATACAAAACAAGTTTAGATGATACATTTCAATTGTTGCAAGAATCCTTTGATCTTCAAGAAGCTTAGTGTCACAAGTGTAACACCTATAATGACTCACAAACACCACAAGCAAGAGGATGATCTAGAAGAGAGAAGGAGAGATGGTAGATTTCGGCTATAATAACCTTCGGGTTTCTTGTTGTAGCTGAAACTGAAGCCCTGGGGTCATTTAAATAGCTGAACAACTAGGGTTTCAGTCAAAACCCTAATTTGATGACTTAGGCCCTAAGCAGCTTGAGAACCTTCTAGAATAAGGCCTCCTTGGCCGAAATTAGAGTGAGCTTCCACTCCTAATTTCATCCACCTTATATCCAGGAAGATCCACAACCCAAAACCAACTATCACACAATTGACAGTTCCAGTCCCCTTTATTTAATTAATTTCTTTTAGCCACAAAATTAATTCTTGACTAATATTAATTAAACTATATGATTTCTCCTTTAATATATATATATATATATATATATATATATATATATATATTATATATATATATATATATATATATATATATATATATATAAATCATCCTGTCAAGTTGCATTGGTGAATGCAACCCAAAAGGACCATGCACAACCGGGTCAAGTACATACCAAATATACTTATGGGCTTAGATACTAATCCAACAATAACTTCAGATCTTGACCCTAGGAGGGTTCTCATGGCATAAAGGTGCCAACTTTACTGCCATAAGAGCCCGATGTATCTTGAAGACTCCATTTTAGGGCCTTTTGAGCTAAATGGCCCATGCATGAACGTAAAGTTTGTAACTTTACGTATAATATGGACCCTAGGAGGTCAGATCTATGGTTTGGATGCATTAAGACCGATTAAAATAGATTGTATAGTTTGGGGCAAAGAGGGACTCGGCGAGTCGGGTAGTATTTCCCATCAAATCCTGTTGTTGATGGACCAGATGCTAAGATAACAGAACACTCAGTTTTCTAGGCTCATTAGGGACCTGGAAATCATGGAACTCGGCAAGTGTATGAGCGGACTCGACGAGTTCAAGGCAATGTCCCAACCACATGAAGACGGACTCGACGAGGTCAAGGGGAACTCGGCGAGTCATAGACTGAAATCCTTCATACATATGAAAATGAACTCGATGAGTCGGTTGAAGAAGGTCGGATGTGTTGTTGAAGGAGAACTCGTCGAGCTCTTGCTAGACTCAACGAGTAGGGACGAAGTTGTAGCTTTTCGTGGATGAGGGGACTCGACGAGTTGGAGAACCAACTCGGAGAGTCTAGTTAACCCGATGTTGACTTTGACCAAAGTTGTCTTTGACCAGGGTCTTGACCTTGACTTTGACTTGGAGTTGAGTTGACCCTCGTAAGGGTTATGAGTATGAAATGGTAATGTAGAAAGGATGTTGTATAGGGATTGAGGAGTCGATAAGAGTCAATTTTCACACCAAGGACAGTGCAGACACTACACGACATTGAGGTGAGTTACCTCCCAGTAAAAGTGGGTCTAAGGCACTAAGGCCGACCCACTAGTAGTTGATTATAGTTGAGATAATTGTCTTTGTGATAATTGTCTGGTTTGCTATTACCTGACGTGTTCTATGTGCTAGTATGATATGTTATATGTGATAATGGTAGTAGGAGGGGAATAGTTCCCCGATTCGGTCGTAAGGACCGAAGGGTAGGTCGAACACCCAGATATGTCTGACAGCATGATTATGATATGTTATTATGTGATAGTTGTAGGGGTGAAATAGTCCACGTGATCGGGTGAGATAGACCGGAGGGTAGGCAGGCACCCCAGAATGGCCTGACACGGGTAGCTCAGCACCCCAGAATGGCTTGACATGTGGCACACCCCCAAACCTGGACGACGGAAACGTCCGGGGGCGGATGACTTTGTGTACAGTATCATAACAATTAAATATAAATGAAGCATAGCAAACAAACATCATACATTAGAAATACACACTTACATAGTTTACATATTGAATCTTGTTCATCAGTTACACAAAAGTAAGAAAGTAAAATTTCTTGAAGTCGCACCACTTGATCTTATAGTCGAACTTATTACTTGCTACTGAATTCCTGAGAATACAAGTCGTTTTGAAAAGCATCAACTAAAAAAGTGGTGAGTTCATAAACAGTTTTGTATAAAAATGGTTTTTGTACTTGTTTAGAATAGTTTTCTGAAACGACCCAAAAATCACGACTAAAAATTTCTTTAAAAACATTCCTAGAATCATATTTATAAAAACTGTATCATAAGTCATAACATAAATTCTCGAGTATTAATTCAAAACATAATATCATTATCAGAGTCAAACGTTCCCAGGCTAACTGACTATGGTGTGTGCACTGCAATCTCCCCGAGCTCCTCTTTTGAAAACTGAGTACCTGAAACCAAAACTGAAAACCGTAAGCACGAAGCTTAGTGAGCTCCCCCAATCAACACATACCATGCAACAACATATAAAGCACATACTGGGCCTTGCCCACTGCATCGGACCAATGTCCGGACTAACTGGGGCCTTGCCCCCTACATCGGATCGAAGTCCGGAAACTGACTGGGACCTTGTCCCCTGCATCGGACCGAAGTCCGGACTAACTAGGGCCTTGCCCCCTGCATCGGACCGAAGTCCGAAAACTGACTGGGACCTTGTCCCCTGCATCGGACCGAAGTCCGGGCTAACTAGGGCCTTGCCCCCTACTTCGGACCGAAGTTCGGAAACTAACTGAACATAGCATAGCATAACATATCAACTAGCATGAACACATATACTGCATACTACATCGGGCCGTAGCCCGGAACACATAACACATAACACATAACACATAGCACATAAATCCTGTCTGAGCCACGAAGGCATCAAACATACTAACTACTACATCGGACCGAAGTCCGGAAACTACTACTAACTGAACGGGCCGGCATTGTGGCCTTAGACCCGTCCCTACTGGAAGGAAACTCACCTGATGCTGCTGAACTACTGCTGCTAATCCTTTTGAATGCTACCTGACCTCTGACTTCGACTGCTGCTCCACTAGCTCCTCAAGCTACCAATATCAATATAACACTTAGTCCAACTGACCTCCAAAGGTCACTAGGTCAATTTTGGTCAAGGTCAAAATCCTGGTCAAAGTCAACCTTCGGGGCAACCCTACTCGCCGAGTCTATCTACTGACTCGCCGAGTTCATATGCTCTGGGTCTTTCTTATTCGCGACTCGACTCGCCGAGTCAATCCATGACTCGCCGAGTCCAACTAGGTCCAAGTCCTGTCCTGTCCAACTCGCTGAGTCACCACCCGACTCACTGATTCGAGCTCCAACTCGAAGGGTTTAGGGTTTCGCGATCTGACTCGCCGAGTCCTAGACAATCTTCAACAAACTCGTCGAGTTGCTCATCCAACTCGCCGAGGCCATGCCTAACTTCAACCGACTCGACGAGCTGCTCATCCTACTCGTCGAGTTCCTCTTCATCTTCAAGCTACTCGCCGAGTCCACTCGAAGGACTCGCCGAGTCTATCCAGTCCTCAATCCATGCAGTGGCTTTTTGAGCCAAACAGAACTTCCAACTCATAGATCCATACTTCTAGGGCCTATTCCCCACGTAAAGTGGCAAACTTTACCGTGTAGATTGAGAGATCTATGCTCAAAACACACTAAATTAGGGTTTATGGAAAACATGCTTCTTCAACATGCCAAGGGCTGATACTTTAGGGGATTCAAGACCAAAACCAACATGGATCTGAGGTAGCAACCTCAGATCTGAACCTCCAACTCGGATTGGTTACATAACATACCACAATGACCAAAACTCACATATAAGAATAGATCTAGATGCAAAAAGGGAGTCCAAGCAACAACTTATTACCTCTAATTGTTTTGAAATGACTCCAAAATCCCAGATCTACAGTCCCTTCTTGCACCTCCAAGGTCTTTCTTCCTCCTCCAAGCTTTAGTGCACTCTTCAAGGCAAGATCTAGCTCAAAAACGGATATGGCGGCTAGGGTTTGGTGTTCTGTGGGGTAGAGAGGCAGTAAAGGAACCCTAGGAAGGAGAATGAGACGCTTATATAGGCTCCAAGTCCCGAATTTAGGG